AAAAAAAAAAGAAATAAAAGAAAAAAAAATTGGCTTCAAAATTGGGAATTCCAAAGAAACAGACACAATTACACAATCAAACAGACACACAAACACTCACATACAACATTATTTATCTATAGCTTCAAGGAAGATTTAATTTCAACACCAAATCCGACACCGACCGATACATCCAGAGTTGAATTAAATAATCATAAGAATAAAGTAATAGCACTCACACATCAGAGCGAACATTATTACGAATAGACAAAGAAAATACAGAGAATACCATTGCATCGCCCTTCGGGTTCTCCCTATTCTTACTTCTCACAAAGGTTTGGGTTTCCTTGAAAGTTGAAACTATCAATTGTGGGCGTTTATAGAGATAGCCTGCGGCCGGGGCTTTATTTAAATGACCTAGGAGAAGTAGTGCACATTAAAAGGCAAAATCAAAGACACAATCTTTTGGGAATAATTATTTCATGCACGTACCGACTTTAAAGGCTGCCTGTTCATTAAGCCATCTTTCTAGTCTTCGATTAATCCAGAACCCGACTAAAATGCACAAGGCTCCCCTTCACAAACCAAAGAAAACAAAAAAAAGGTAATCAGGACTATACATGCTTCCATCCACACATCTAAACCGTGAAAATTGTAGCGATATCAATTATCGAGTCTAAGCACTTTGGTTATTCTATTGACAACCTCACAGCAATAATCGACACGTAAAAGAAGCATCATAATGGGTCTATCCAAGCATAATAATGAGTCTATCTAAGCATCCACAATGACCAATTAATTAGTAGAAACTACTCGTCATGTGAATAGAATATATAGAGAGAAACCAACCTCATCATAAGCACGTCCTCTTTGGCCGATGACGAGACACATCGAGGCAAAAAGGGATCTCGTCTAATACGAGCCACCCTATTAGCAACGGTTCTGCCCTCCAGCACATACTCTGCTAGCATGCTTACAGCCCTGTGAACAGCGTAACCCTCAGCAAAAATTTTCACGAAACATTGGAGAACGTGTTGGTTTTCCAAAAGCTCCATCGCTTTTTCAGCATGCTTTTCTTCATCAGAATGAATGGCCTCCAGAAGTTCTTTTGCTGATGGGATGAGTTCGGGATGTTCTTTTACAAGGTGCTGGGCCACATCCAAGAGCTCCTCCTGCGTCTTGTCCTGCAGCATATACATACATATCAACCGTAGAATTAAGAAATCGACGATAAAGTCCCACGTCACTACTAATAAACGACATGAGCATACTCTTTCAAGTATTATGGTAAGAGGAGATAAACGTCTGTCCACTTCATCTGGCGATATCTTATTATGCACTACATAGTCCTCCTCATCAAGACCAAGTAAATAGTCATAGTAGTCAAAGTCAGGATGAGACCCACTTGGCGCAAGCTTCCCTCTTATCTGCCTGGGTAGAGTTTTTCCATCCTGAAAATAAATTCCAGTTCTTTTGATTGAGTTCTCTACCAGGTCCACTACTTCTAGTCGAAAAAAATTTCGAGTAAACCATAAATCAAACATCACAACACAATCAAACAAGTACAACTGTACAAGACTTGCCAAAGTTTTTTT